GGGGCTGCCATGGAGGTGCCCAACGTCAAGGACTTCCAGTGGAAGCGCCTGGCGCCACTGCCCAGCCGCCGGGTCTACTGCTCCCTGCTGGAGACCGGGGGGCAGGTCTATGCCATCGGGGGATGTGACGACAACGGCGTCCCCAGGGACTGCTTCGAGGTCTACTCCCCCGAGGCGGACCAGTGGACCGCCCTGCCCCCCCTGCCCACAGCCCGGGCTGGGGTGGCCGTCGTCGCCCTGGGAAAGAGGATCATGGTGATCGGGGGAGTGGGCACCAATCAGCTGCCCCTGAAGGTCGTGGAGATGTACAGCATCGACGAGGGCAGGTGGAAGAGGAGGAGCGTGCTGCGCGAGGCCGCCATGGGCATTTCCGTGACGGCCAAAGGCAAGTGGGGCCGGGGCTGCGCGGGCGGAGAGGAGGGGCGGGGCGACCACAGGGAAGGGATGCGGCCGCACATCACGTTCCCGATCCCACTGACCCTTACCGCAGACGCTAACACTGGAGACCCACTGGCAGTATTTTACAGATGGGAAAACTGAGACTCAGCAAGTGAAGTGTCTAGTAATTCCTTATGATAGCAGGCTCCTCCCAACAACTGGCAGGCTGCGCCAGAGGGGATCCCGAGGTTAGCGCAGTGGCTCTGTCGGCCCCTTCTCTCAGCAGAAGCATCGAGCCTACCATCCAGAGCACCCCATCCCCTGAAACTGCCTTGCATCTGCCACCACCTCCAGACACATATTTGGGGTCCTGGGGATGTTCACACCATCATTGCCCCATCACCAGGCCCCACGGAAGGGGTTTGGGCCCTGATTCCAGGGCCCTCTCCCCACCCTCAAGCTCTCCCTCTGTCTCCTAATCTCAGAGATACTTTTAAGGGTTTTGCTTCTGCAGCATCTTGCCCATCTTGAGTTCTCTGGGCACGTGTGTGCTGACCATGTGGTTTTATGATTCTCATTTCACTTTCTTCAAGCCCCTACTTTCCTTTTCTCCTGGCTTGGAACAGCCCGGAGCATAGAGGGGGCTCCAAAAATTATTTTGCTAAAACACAAAGGGTTTTATGGGAAATGGCCCAGTAGGAATCAGGAGACCCCAAATCCACACAGGCTTAATGGGATGCAACCTTCCCTCCCTCCCTGGCAAAAATCATCCAGCTGCCTGCTGGGTCTACTGTAGAATCAGAACCAGTATTGTCTGAGCACCTGCTCTGTACCTGGCACAAATCCAGGTCCCAGGGAGGAGGGAAAGATGCAGATCTGGGCTCTGTCTTCAGGAACCCAGGTCAGACCAATGAAGGTGACCAGAGAAACTCTAGCCCAGAATCCTTCAGGGCAGAATGTTCAGTGGAGCGTCCATAAATGCCTGTAAGAAGGATGGAAGGCATGGAGGCCCATGGGGGAATAGAGAGGGGAGAGCACTCCCTTATCAGCAGGCCTCAATAAATGGTGCTAAAAGATTAAAAACTAACATTTATTGAGTCCTTACCATAGGTGTTTTATATATATTGACATATTTGATCCTCACAACCTGTCTGATGAGGTGAGATTATTATCGTCATTTTAGAGAGAAGCAATGGAAGGCCCAGAGAGGTTAAAAAGCTTGCCCAAGTTGCACAGTAAGTGAATGATCAAGTCTGTGTTCTTAACTATGGCACTGAATGGGTTCATCAGTTAATTTAATAAGCATTTATATGCCTGCATTTCAGGCATTGTACCAGATGCTGGGGTCACAGATTAACGAATTCCCAAGGACCTACAATCTATTGGAAAAAACAGACAAAGATTATTTCAGTGACGTATGGTCACAAGAGTGATGCAGGTGTCATGGGAAGCCTGGGCTAGTGCTCTCGGCCCAGCCTTGGTGTTCAGGGACACCCAGGTGAATCTGAAAGGATGAGTGGAGGGGACTGGAGGATTCCCAGTTGGAGGCGTGTTTCAGGTGACACACGGGGGCTGGGAGAGGTGGAGCTTGTATAAGGTAAATTCATGAGTAGGCCCCATCTCCTGGCCTCAGGCTAGGGTTGGTTGTTTTTTCCCCCCAGTGAGATTGGAAGGTAGAAGGCAATAGTACTCCTCGCTGAAATATTCTAGAACAAAGGCCTCTTAGAGCCAAAAGTGGTAAAGACTGGCTACCGACAAGTGGGAGTGGGCTCTTGGGAAATAGAGAGCCCTGTGGGGGCTGTGTCCCTGACAGGCTGCAGGAGGTACTGAGGCGGGTCCCAGGGACACATGGATGCCTTGCCCACTCTCTCTGGTACAATGGCAGAGAAGTGCCTTGAGAAGACACCTGCAGCCAAGAGCAGAAGGGCAGGAGAGAGAACTGCTCTTCTCAGAGTGCTCAGCTTACTGCTCGGGCAGGGTCCTGGAAGGGGCTAGTTTTCTCTCCTCCAAGCCTCACCCCCATTCACCCCTAGCGCTGTCCTTAGTGCAGGGTGCCTCCTGGAACCCATAAGTATGTGAAGGAGGATCGCGTTCCCCCATGGGGGTAGCAGAAAATGGAAGAACCAGCTGCAGTCCAGTGTCCCACAGGGCCAATGACAGCAGGACTGACCTCATTTCCAAAGGCTCCTGCTAGGTCTAGAGAGTTCCAAATCAGAGTGCCTGGGCCAGGCCACTACTGGGGGTTATCAGAGCAATGCCCCTCCTCTTCCCATCCCCTCTGGCTGCCCAGGAAGGAGGAGAATGGAGGGGACAAGACTGCAAAGGATTGTCCAGGTCTAGACCCCACTGCAGTTTGCTCTTGTGTGAGGCTTAGTGTTTCCGGCTTAGTCGAGGGCTGGACACTAGGAAGGCTAAGGCATGCAGGCCTGACGTGCCTTCAGGAAGACCCAGGCTCAACTGCAGCAGGGACTTTTAAATGTGGCCTCAACCCTACTGATGTGTACATATGGCTCACTCTGGCAGAGCAATGGGTGGGAACCAGACCTGGCTTCATTGCTGGTGTTCAAGGGGTTATCAGATGAATACTGATGGGCGTGTCTCATGGTGCCCATGAACTGAGCCAGGGGTTGCATGTGGCCTTTCTCCTTAGATTACCGAGTGTATGCAGCAGGCGGGATGGGCCTGGACCTCCGTCCGCACAACCACCTCCAACACTATGACATGCTCAAGGACATGTGGGTGTCGCTAGCACCCATGCCCACCCCGAGATATGCTGCCACCTCCTTCCTTCGAGGTTCCAAGATCTATGTGCTGGGTAAGGATGGGTTGTCTGTCCCACATCAGTCCCTCCTTCCCTCCCGTGAGTCGTTTCCCATGGGAAGTAATGCCTGTGTGTTGAGCATCTCCTTGGCACTAGGGGGTAAGCATGCTGCCCCATCCCTCAGGGAGCTTCTGTATGGTTAGGTAACAGTCAGGAAGGGGAACCCAGTCCCTGTCCTCGGGGACTTACTCTTCTGCCCCACCCCCACCCTGCTCTGCTCCTCAGGAGGACGACAGTCCAAGTATGCAGTCAACGCCTTCGAGGTCTTTGACATTGAGACTCGCTCCTGGACCAAGTTCCCCAACATTCCCTGTAAACGGGCCTTCTCCAGTTTTGTGACCCTGGACGACAGCTTGTACAGCCTGGGAGGCCTGCGGCAGGGTCGGCTCTACCGGCAGCCCAAGTTCCTCCGGACCATGGACGTGTTTGACATGGAGCAGGGTGAGCTGGGTGCCCCCTGCCTCTGGCTGACTCCCCCACCATACCTCTATTCCATCCATACTCCCAGGGCCACTAACCCAGCTGCGTGAGCCTTTCAGACGTCTAAACGCCCCTCTCCATTCAGGGATATCTTGGGCGCAAATTCTCTCATCCATGCAGAGCTCCCTTTGGAGGGTTGGTTGTTTTTATCAAGGCCTTTCCATCTATTGTTTCTTCTTACAGCACCCAGGCAGGGCCAGGTGAGGGAGGGCTTTTTCCTGCTTTTACTCTGGAGAAAGAGAGAGATCCTGATCCCTGTGCTCACTGCCGCTAGTTAGCTTTTCTTCATCTTAGAGCCTGTGAGAGAGGAGGTAGAACAGGTAATTCGTTGTAGGGGATTATAGTTCCCAGGACTACAGCAAGCACGGGAGAGGGTGGAAGCCGCGGAGAGAGTCATTCAAACAGCAGAAGGTGTTGGGTGTGTCCTGCCCACAAAGGGTAGGTCAGTGGAGACACTGTCCTGGGTGAGAGCTGTTCGGGACTCAGTGTGTGTTAGGGGCGCTGGGATAGCATCTAATTCTCTGTATGTCCTGCCATCATCCGTGGCCTGCAGGGGGATGGCTGAAGATGGAGCGCTCCTTCTTTCTCAAGAAGCGACGAGCAGACTTTGTGGCTGGCGCTCTGAGTGGACGGGTCATAGTGGCCGGAGGACTTGGTAAGAATGGAGCTTCTGGGCTGGCACTGTGGCTCTGGGGCTTGGTGGATTGTTGGCACTCTGCACGAGCAGGAGAAGGAGCTGGCTCCTTGCTCACTGCCTGCCTACCACTTATTCCAAAGAACTCAGAAATTGCCCTTTCTCTTAGCCTGGACTTCATGTATCCACGTATGGGCCCCAGATGTAGTCTTTCTGTCCGCTTACACAAGGGACATTGAGGCCCAGAGAGCATAAGCAACATACTGCTAACCATGTAACACAGGGGTGCTCAGCACAGACCCCTGGCCCTAGCCAGGAGTGAGAGACAAAAGTGTGGCAGGGGTTGGCCTTGGTCCTCTTTCTCTGACTATCTCTTCTTGGCTTCCCAGCTCCATCATGGAATAGGAAAGCCATTTGATCAAACATGTTAGTATGATTAGGATTAGTTAGTTCAGGATTTGCTGAATTACCCTTCCAGAGGCAGAACCCAACATCAGCAGGGGAGAGATATATGGGCAGGGGGCTCCCAGGCACCCAGCCTTTGCTCAGCATGGACAGACTCCACTTCATCAGCTCATGAAAGGAGCCCAGTGTGAGCTAGATAATATGGGCCACTTTTAGTACAAGGTAGGAGGGAGGCAATCGTATCTAGAAACTCCTGGTAAAAGCATGGGGTTGGGGAAAGAAAGCTTACTTGTGAAGAGATGAAAGGACAGAAAGGAGGGGCAAAAAGTGGCTGTTTGACCAAAGCTACTGGCCCAGGGTACAGAGGGACAGCCGAGAAAGTTTGAGGTTGCTCGGCTTCTACTAGCCAGAGCGAGGGAGGTGGGGTGACTGCAAGGCATGGATCGGTGGCTGGACTCCTTTGTAAGTTCCGATTCCCTTTCAGGGAACCAGCCCACTGTCCTGGAGACTGCAGAGGCCTTCCACCCAGGAAAGAACAAGTGGGAGGTGCTCCCAGCCATGCCCACGCCCCGCTGTGCCTGCTCCAGCATCGTGGTCAAGAACTGCCTCCTGGCCGTGGGGGGCGTCAACCAGGGTCTGAGTGACGCGGTAGAAGCCCTGTGTGTCTCTGACTCCTAGCTGTCCTAGGCCCAGCGCCTTTGCCCTGGACCGGATCACCTGACTCTTGACAAGAGAAATGGTCTTGTCAAAGCAGTTTGGGCTACTTCCCAGATGCTAGCTCCTATCAGCAGCCAGTGGGGCCAGGCTCTGGGGCTTAAGGACCTCTCTCCACCTCCTAATCCCACCAATCCCAGGAAACTGGAAGACATCCCAATGACCACCAGCCCCTGGTTGGAGCTCAGTGGACCTCTGGGGAGAGTCCTCTCTCACTGCTCAGGCAGAGAAATGCACAGGAGTACCTGCTGCCTGCCCCACTGAGTCCCACCCCTCCCCACCTCCAGGGTAGCTCTGACCCAGAGGGTGAGCTGTTGCCACTGTTCCTTTCCCCAGCTCTCAACTGGTTTGAGGGTCTCTTAGGGTGGAAAATGGAGAAGGGTTGGGGGTTCCCAAATGCGCTCCTTTCCATTGGCCCATAACCCTTCCCCATTTGGTGATCAACTGTGAGCCTGCCCGGGACCTCATCCACGCAGCAAGAATTGGCCTCAGAGCTGGAGGCAGCTGAACTGGAAGGGAAGTCGCAGACTGTTCTACGTCGGCAGCCCTGGCCAGGAAGGACCCTGCCTCTCCAGGCTCCTTGATGGGAATGTGATGCTGGGGAAGGAGCAGACGCCCCACCCGGGCTCTGCTCCCCACTCCTCACTCTATTACTCCTTTTGCCACCCCTCCCTCCGGAGGCCTGGTCCTTTTGTCACCAATAGCCCCAGAGTGTTTCTGTGGGAAACCTCATTTACACTGTGGCATCAGAATCCACAAAGGATGGATTCCTTGCACTCCAGTTAACAGCAGCAGCACAATGATTAAAATCTATATTCTTATCTTCTCCAGCTTTTGGTGCAGGGGCGGGGTGGACAGATGCCTTGATGGTTAGAGGGGACCCCATACAACAGCCCCTCTGACATTGTCAAGCTAAATAGGGCCCCAAGTGACCACCTATTCTTGGCTGTTCCCTCTGAGAAGGTTCTACTTTCAAACCACTGTGCGCCCCACCAGTTGCCTCACTTCTAGTAAAACAGCATAGTTTCCTTTTCAAAAGAATTGAGACTGTTAAGAAAGGGTTGCATTCGGTAACTGACTCCTTCAGGTTACTCCTCACATCTAGCCTCATTCATTCAGCTTAAGTTCATTTCTGTCTGGCCCCAGAACTTGAAGAACATGCCTCCTTTTAGCTTGGATTCCCAGTGATTTTTAAAAGCTGTGCTAGCACCAGGGATACAGATATGAAAAAAGACCTGCTCTTGTGCGGTTGCCGGGCAGCCAGATGACACGGCACGACACCTCCGTTATCTCTTGAGGCAGGAACACAGGAAGGATGCCTGCCTGCCTGCCTGAATCTGGGGGATGGG